GTATATAAATCAGAAGACGAATATAAAGCGTTGATTACACTTAGAGACTTTCAAAAGCACAGACATCTGAAGTAAAATTGAGAATGACGTGAGAGTGTCAAAGACCAAGCAAACAAGCGAGCGAGCGAGCCATATGAGGATGAATGAGTTATCGAATTATTTCAAATGTTATTTTTATTTGTCGAAACTACACTTAATCAAATCATCACATCTCATAGCTTTCTCAGAAGAAAAAAACATACTTTTTATTTACAATCGGTCTATCATTGGGTTGTGTGATCAACGGAATGATTATCCGCTCTTTCCTACTGGTAATCGGATTTTATCCGTAGAGATTACAGGTACACTAAGCCATGAAGTACCAACCTTAGGTTCAGAGTTTCTTTCAACCACCAATTTTCTTCATTTCACAAAAAAATTCTAGTTTTACACTAAAATTATTAAACTAGGTCATGCGGCTTACAATGACTGATATCTAACACTATCTATAGTGTTCAGCGACACTTTCTACTTACCTCCCGTCATCTAACAAACCATTGTTTTTTGGAGATGTTTGTAACTTTGAAAAGCTAGAAAACATTTCTCAAATAAAAAATATTTATCGATTGCGTAGAATAGTCTTAGTAGAAAAAAAGAGATTGTATTTACGTAGTAAATATAATCCGTTTGTTTGTTAATTAGTGCGTGAAATTTTATGCAAAATTATCCTACGTATTGAATATTTAAAAAAAACATCAAATTGTTCAACGTGTACAATATCTAATATACATTTGTTTATGGTCACACTTCAGTTGAATAAATTGAACTGATTCAAATCAGAAACAAGATATTATCGATACTTAGATTATCTTAGTGGATATCGTTTACTTAGTTGGTTTGTTAACATATTTTTTAGAATATGTTAACATAAATCTACATAATGATAGGATGCTTGATGGGGTTTTGAAGATTGTCGAGTTACTTTGTTAAAATCAAGAATCGATTAGTGTTGGAGCACCGCTAGAAACCTGGAGGCGATGAATTAGCTTTGCGCACCCACGATTCCTGCAATCAGTGAGATTCGGACCCAAGACCTCCGGTTTTTGCGTGAGAACACCTAATCTCTTGATCCGTGAGCCGGTATTTAACGGTGTTAATGTCCAACTTTGATCACTGAAGACAGTGCATAAGGTTGCTCAAGGCCGTGAAATATTAAAGACATTAGAAACCGGTTCATTCGTCTAGGGGGTTAGGTGTTTGCGCCCGAGATTGTAGGTTCTCGGTTCAGATCTCGCGAGTAGCAGGTGTCGTGTATTGTTATGTTCGTCACTAAGTATGCTTGAGGCTATTATGAGTTTACCTTAGTCGATGAACATGAACGAGACTTCTAACAGTGTCCAGGTAGGATAACTTGAAACCCAAGCGGAAGTAAGAAGGCTTTGTAAGAGTAGAAAGTATATCATACAAAAACCCAGCAATCACAATACAATCAAGCACACAACTCTTGTTTATTTATACATCATAGAAACATCCTTGTGACAGTCACAAAAATAGCATACTAAAATACATGGCAACCAATCACAGCCATGGATTTTCCTGGTAGGAACTGAAATCACATGGTCAACTGATCAGCCCATGCTGGCAAAACCAAAATAAGGCATTTATCAAGTGAGTTTTGGGGATCTAACCTCCCCAACATGTATATGCACTGCTGATGAGCCCCATACCAGGACGAAACACCCTTCTTTCAGTGTTTCCATGCTTCTAATGCTGGTCTAAAATTGATCGATTCATACTTACTTGCTTACTTACTTACGCCTGTTATCCCCAATGGAGCATAGGCCGCCCACCAGTTTTCTCCAACCAACTCTGTCCTCGGCTTCCCTCTCCAATTCTGTCCAGTGTTTGCTCATTCCTCTATTTCTCTATTTTTGATGAATTCGTACTCTTCACTAATGATAAGAGTATGATTATATTACAGAAAAATTCACTGAATATTTTCGTTTGAAATTATCATAAAATAACTATTAATTAAGGAATTGATCGATGCAGAATCAAAATCAATGAGACTTTATTTTATTCCCTTACACAATTGTATATTGGTACATCATGGTTTATAGATTACTAAACATTAATTGAAAATATATGCAAAGCTGATTATTTATCTTTTGTAACGATATATTATTTGGTATAGATTGAACTATAAAACAAACACATCAAATTACAACATAGATATAAGTCTAGGTTATTCAATATCGATTGCTCTGTGTTGAGTTGTTCGTTCAATGTAAGTGGTCTGTAGACAATATCGAACCTTGGTTTCAATCTGTTTATTGCTTATTGGAGGAGATATGATGGGATATAAAAAAAAAACCATATCAGACTGTGTTCACATTCTCGGATGTCTCGGATGTTAAACATTGTTCATTGTTCACAGTGTTCATTACAAATCTCATGTGGAATTGAACGGAAGATTTTCAGGTTTTTTATATTGAGTGAATCAGACTGAAAAACTTTACAACTGTATCAATTCAAGATATAATGTGTTACAACCAGTAACGGATTATTTTCTCTCTGTAATAACTCGTTTTAAGGAAAACTTCAAAGATTTTAGTGCGAAATAATTACTGATGAATTTCAGCCATTTCGTCATTTTTCAATTAAAATAATTTTCACGAAATTGAGATTCATTTAAGTAGAACTACTAGTACTATTCACATGGATATTCTATTTTGTAAACTGACAGCAATTAAGATCTTAGTGTATGATGAAATCTTTCAGTGATTTTCTGAATTATTCTAAAGTAATTTATCAACTGAACCGAAAATATATAGCACTGATTATCACTTGAATACTTTTGCTATTATTATTATTGTTATCTGTCAATATAGAGTCTCTGCGATTACTGCTAATACTTTTACTAACTTACTACCATGGGATTTGAATTGACAGTCATATCTCTGAGCTAATGTGATATGGTAACTTGAACTAATGTATGTACGTACGTACGAACGTACGCAGTTCTACGTTGCTACTGATTGACTGATTGACTGATCGACTGTCAGCATAGGGTCTTGGAAATTGGCAAATTTCGTTGAAATCATCAACAGAAAAAGTGTTAGATTACCATTGAAAACTTGTAAACATTGAACTACTGTTTCGTCCTAATGTGGCTCCTTTAAGCAGTGTACATCCTCCAGACTTCACGTAGTTTCTCTTTAAGACTCCAGTCACTAATGGGTATATATATTTGTTACCTGTATAGTGTTTTTTTGTGAAGATGACAAAATTTCTATGATCTGCACATCAAAAACCGATCTTAAACTTCGTTTGATAACCTTTAAATGGGGTACTTACAAGATTTTCAATGCAAAGTCATAACAATAAATTTAAGCAATCAAAATACAAATGAGATAGGTTTTAAGTACATTTAGTTATATTGACTCATTTTCTGATGAAAATGACTATCGATTAATAATTCAGTTTCAACAAACTAAGACAATAAATTCACCTCTAACTTGATTGTGTTTTTGAATCGTTGGTCTAACTTTTTAATTAACGAGTCTGAAGAGAGTTTTTATTGAAAAATGTACTCATCAATAATATATATTTACATTTTAAGACGATGGAAATTTCGAAACATCATAGTTATTAAAATCTTGGCAGTTCCAAATATTCAACTTACAAAGAGATTAAAACGTCTTCCGAAAAATAACTGATCGTTCTACTACTTGAACCTTTAAAACACTTTTAATCAGTAAAATTTTTTTCATATGTAACTCTGTCACTTTAAATCTCTTCCATTTACGTGGTACCCGATTTCTGTTAAACTGTTGGTCCAAATTTCAACGAATACGCACATAAATCGTATACTCATAGATGTATAAAAATAATCAGTCAACGAACAACAACATTGAACTTCCTACGTATATCAGTTCAGGTTGCCATACAACTTTAGCACAGAGACACAAATGTCAGTTCAAATCCAATTGTTGTAGCGGTAGTAGTAGTATCATCAGTAATGGAGAAGATTGGGGTTTGAAGGTATGATTCGAGAAGTATAATTCAGTAATATAAATCTAGAAAGAGAAAGATAGAGAATATGAGGAATTCAGAATGTTAGAATTAGAGAGAACATAAAAAGAGGATGCACCTGCGCCATTGCAAACGATTTTGAGCCATGTCTTTCAAGGTCTCTAATCATTGGTGACTTTCATCTCGCGGACCCCAGTCAGGTATCCTACATCTACCAACATAACTCGGTCCATCTGTCAGTGACTTCATGCATTTCTGCCATGTTTTGGTCTGGCCGCACCTAGCTTTCTCCCAACCTACTCCTACACCACAGAACATAGCTCGATGTGGCTGTCAGTGGTTAGGCATAAGTAACACATGTCCCAACCACCTCAAGTGATGAAGTTTCATTACTTCATCTGTTGGTTTGCCATTCCTAACCAGCACTCGTTTCCTCACGACAGTATTGCTTACTCGGTTGTTCCAGGATACTCGAGCAATGCTTTGGGGACATCTATGAACGAAAACAAGCTACCTACGAATATCTTCTATGTAAAAAAATTCAGGACGATTTAGTGCATTGTGAACAAAGAAATTAAATTGGGAAAATTTACAGTCATCCATGCCACACAAATGCACAGATAGTGACATTTATATCCTATCAAATGTTTATGTACTTTGTAAAAATAAACAATAGTTTTCTGGCTAACAAAAGTTATCATTATTTAAAATACAGAATGTCTCCTTATTTGTTAAACCATCATTCTGTTATGTTAAACATACATGAAATTCATAAAATAAAAAAAATCAACTTGTACTACTTATTGTAACAGTAGTATATTTCATTACACATTCACGTGATTAATATAATTGGAGGCTAAAATGAACTAGCCAATTAGAAGTAGGTTTTTCTTTGAACCAATCATATGTGAATATATTTTTATGTGATTAGAAATCTGCTGGTTGATTGATTGTGTAACATATTTCTCAAGCTCATGCAGTACATAAAGTACACTATAGTTTAAATATATATAAATGTAATTCAATTGTTTTACAAATGTCTGATACAAAAGAAACAATTCAAACGACCACAAACACAACTTTAATAATTAGTGAAGATAATCAGCACTCATTCAATGATTCCATAAATAGCGCTACTTGTACTGAAGATATTCCATACTGTTCTAAAGAGACAACAAGTAAAATGAATTGGAATAATAATTCACATAAAAATGTTCACTTTTCAAACTCCTTTCGTAAATCCATCGATTTGTCTATCAATGTACCAAATGAACAATTGAAAAATTCACCAGAAAAAACAAGTTCATCATCAATGAAAGATGAACACCACACTACAATTAATGGAGTAGGTAAAAATTGGAAAAATGTTCGTCATACAATGAAATTTGTTTTATCAAATAAATCAAAACCCAAATCCGAACATAATGATTCTAGTCGTGATTCATTTCTCTATCGTTTTTCAACACAACGACGTGGAACATATATAGAAGAAATGGAGAACCAAACTGAAAATTCATTGTTAGATTATCAAACATCTTTTAAATTGGAAAATCATACTAAACTACAAAATGACAGAAATGTACAAGTTGGTGCATCGTCTGAATCATGGTTTGGTCAACAAGTAGAGATTGATGATAAACAACATGAGATGGAACATTTACTCAATCTCTTATCACCATTGCAAAATCACTCCGTTGTAGACAATTTATTGATTAAACCAGAAATGGAACTAGTTGATAATGCACAAAGCCATCATCAACTATCATCATCATCATCATCTCCTGAAAAAAAATCACACACTGACAATAATCATCAGACAACTGACGTGGATGTTGATCAGGCGCCAAATTGGAAAGCAACCCTCATGTCGACATTACAAAAACCATTAAACATTTTTATATTTCATTCAAATAGTTTTGGTTATTTAATCTGGTTAACATTTGTATCTTTAGCGCTGTTATATAATTTATGGTCAGCGATAGCACGTCAAGCATTTACTGAATTACAAGTTACTTATCAACTGTTATGGTTTATACTAGATGCCTTCGCTGATATTACTTATATCATTGATATATTTGTACAATGTAATACAAGTTATTTAAAATGTGGTTTAAAAGTACGTGATCATCAAAAACTAGCTAAGCGTTATATGAAATCTTATAAATTCTTATTGGATTTATTCTCATTACTCCCGTTGGATTTGTTACAATTTAAAGTTGGCATACAACCAATGTTACGTTTCCCTAGATTTTTGAAATGTTATCGATGTCATGAATGGAAAGTACGTGTGGAGAATCGAACTATATTCCCTAATTTATGGAGAGTTTTAAATTTAATTCATATTTTATTCTTAGGATGTCATTGGTTTGCTGCATTTTATTATTTATTATCAAAATTTGAAGGATTTAAAAATCCATGGGGATATCAACCGACAACAATTTATAATAATAATATCAACAACAGCCAGAACATTCTGGAAAATGATACAATTTCACGAATTTATTTAAAATCATTCTATTGGGCTACATTGACATTGACAACTATTGGTGATTTGAGTGCACCAACAAGTAGTATAGAGTAAGTTAGCACAAAAAAAACCAAAATGGAATCACATGCTTAATATGTTTGACTTTGAAACTTAATTTTGTTTTTTTAAATGAACATTGAATCGATTCGCGCTAGTTTTGATTTAATCGACAAGTAATTGACAGTTACAACTGTCAAACAGTCAATATTTTAAACACTGAATATATTCATTATCTAAAGTATTTTCTATTTACTTACCTGTGCCTTTTACCCCAATGGAATATAGGCCGAAGTGTAGCGTTCTCCAACCGACTCTGTCCTTGGCCTTTCTGTCCAGTTCTATTTAATTGTCGTTCATTCTTTTCAAGTTTGTCTCTATTTCTGTGTATAATGTGTTCTTTGATCTTGAGGATTCTAGTTGAGGGCTTGTCTCGTGACGCAGTTAGGTGCTTCTTCCTGGTTTCCTCCTCCACTGTAATCTAATTTCTTCTCTTCCATAGTAGGTTGTATCTGATAGTGTATGGCTAGCGGATCTTCGGTATCTGGTGTTGACAACTGTTAATAATCACTTATATCTTCTGGATGATAGCTTTCATAGTTCTTCAAGTTCCCACTCCAGTAGACAGTAGAAGTGTTTTTTTGAACATTAGTATTAAAACTCATGACTTTCATATATTTGACACCGATCTAAACGTCATTGTGATTTTATACGTACTTAAAGTGGGTGAAAATTAGAGTATCGATTTCTGTACTATTTAGACTTTTAAACATGTAGAAACTTCTTTACTCTGGTTATACTATTTTTGTATTGATCGAAATTGATTTTCACGCTTCACTATTTGATCTGCACATGGATTAACGAAACAACTGCACTAGTTTCCTCCTTGTTCATTTGTAATTCTTTCGAAGGCGAACTAAAAAAGAAACCCGGAAGCTGTTTGCTATGTAATCAGTGTTGGTGTGAACAGTTTCAATGGTACCTAAAAAGTATTTGGTATTTTGAGTTCACATACTGCATTTTTTGTGGGGGGAAATAAAGGAAGGGATTGCACCGAAACATATTACACTTCATTTAACTCTCTCTAATGTCCTCTAATTAGTTTGTTTGTACGGTGAAAAGTAGAACTATTCATTATCGAACAGTCACACCATATGAACACCTTTGTCATAATAATAATAATAATTATAATTATAATAATAATAATAATAATAATGACAATAATAAAAAGTAATAAGAAGGCCACTTTTAATAAGAGTTTTATTTTCTTTTTATAAGTAGTATAAACAAATTTAACTTCACTAGATATAAATAGATAGAGAGATAGATAGATAAATGTGTGGATAGATAGATAGATAGATAGATAGATTTAATCACTTTCAACAATCGCATACACCTTCTTCATTATTGATTACTACAAATAAATCAAGTTGTATTGGCGTAGATTGGCGTAGATTTTGTCATTTGCGTAGGTATCCACTTGACTGAATCATTGAATGATTGAATCAGTAAATGAGTTAATGAGTGAATCAATCTGAATCAATTTAAATCAGTCAAATTGAATGTGTTTTTTTTTAAAGAAATGAAAGAAATAAAAGAGTGCTAGTTAATTTTTAAGTAGATGAAATGATTTGTTTTAAATAATATATATGTGTATATGTATGCATACTTGCTTACTTACTTACTTACTTACTTACTGACACCTGTTACCCCAATGGAGCATAGGCCGCATTTTCTCTGGTTGTCAGAAGAGGCATCGGCCGCGTGACTTCCGAGGGAACTCAGCCTTCATCACGTGACGTCATAATTCTTCTTCCAAAAAACTCCCAGGGCAGAGTTAAAATGGTTTGAATTAGTTTTTATCTGGTTAGCGTTTTTTTATCGGCAAGTTAGTTTTTGACGGAATGGGGTCGCCAACCCCATGTCCAATCCTCCTCCTTTATCCGTGCTTGGGACAGGCAGTATCCCCGAAGGTTCTACTGGCGGATTTGTATATATGCATATATATTATAAAATTTGGTTTATGGATATTTTGCGAGAAAAATTAGTTACAATTCAAGAAGATTGGCGGTTTTCTCCTTCGTGAAATACAAATAGATTGGTTAAATTTTTTGATATTAAAGATTCCCATTGTGAAAATTAGAATAACACAGATAATAAGCGAACAATAGTGTTGTTTTCGATTAGATTGTTATCAGGCTTTTTACTCTCAAATATACATGAACATTTATTCTGAGATGGTGGAGAAAACTTGTAGCTCAGGTGGATGATTGTGGTGGTGTTTCGTTCTCTGAGCTGGTTGTTTTGGTTGTGGAGCTTTCATTGTTCTTCTTCTGAACAACATCATCAGCACAAACTTCAGATAGAAGAAGTGAAGCATTCGAATTTCTCCACGTTTGTCCTGTAGCTTGTTCTGTTAACCTCGATCTTGATTGGTTGCTGTTGACTTTTGACCTGTCTAACGTGGAGAAATTCGAATGCTTCACTTCTATCTGAAGTTTATGCTGATGATGTTGTTCAGAAGAACAATGAAAGCTCCACAACCAAAACAACCAGCTCAGAGAACGAAACACCACCACAATGAATATTTATACATGAAAATGTTCTAACAAATCAAGGTTATTTGAGTCGGCAATCATCACAATGAAATGTGAAATGGATTACGACGTCACTACACCTCTAATAGGCAAAAGTACAAGTTGATAACTGTAGGAAGACAGATCTGTACTGATGGTAGTAGTAAGAAAATTATAAAATATGATAACTAAAGTTTTATCATCAGTAGGTCAAACCTCGTGGATAAATAGACTTAATCTATTTCACATTTCATTGTGATGATTATCGACTCATAAATTGCCTTGATTGGTTAAAACATTCTCATATATAAATATTCATGTATATTAGAGAGAGTAAAAAGCCTGATGACGGACGATCTAATAGAAAACAACACTGATGTTCGCTTATTATCTGTGTTGTTCTAAATTTTGTACATGGTTTTACTGCTAAACTCATTCATTTCAAATAGCACTCAATCGCATGTATGTGATTCAGTAAGGCATTGTTGTTTTTTGCATTACGGGGTTGTGAAGATTATTAAGTTACACATTTTTGAAACCATTAGAAACCTGGAAGCACTGGACGGACGTTTCGTCCTGATATGGGACTCCTCATCAGTGCGCATCCACGACTCCTGCACCCCATAGGATTCGAACCCAGGACTTTCGGTATTGTGCGCGAACGCCCTAACTGTCAGATCACTGAGCCGGAATCCAACGGTGTTCGAATCCTGCAGGGTGCAGGAGTCGTAGATGCGCACTGCTGAGGAGTCCCATACCAGGATGAAACGGCCGTTCAGTGCTTCCAGGTTTCTAATGGTGGTCTAACATTGATCGATTGATGGTTTCAAAAATTGTTGTTTTTTGTTGAAAATAAACAAAACACTCTAGGCGCCTAAATGAACACAATGTATGAATGAATCAGTACATTGAGCAATCATTGATAACTGAAATTTTACATTGATCAATTTTATTTTGAGCCATTTTAATAGATAAAAGTTTCAAACAGTAGAAAATGATTCTCTTCAGTTAGTTAAAAAGCGGAGAAATCACTTACTTACTTA